CACACACACTCACATATGGCAGTCTCGCGTGTGGGCGAAGGCGCAGCGGCGGCAACACACACACACACATACACACACAACTGTTCTCTCTCTCTTTCTCTCTCTCACACACTCACACACACACACACACACACACACACACACACACACAGACATATACACACATGCTCTCTTCTTCAAAACAATAAGCCTAAAATTTTTCTAAAAATGGTTAAACTCTAAATAAAATAATAAAGAAATAAAGAAATAAATTGAAATAAAAATAAAAATAAATAAATAAATTAAAAAATTATAATAATTAACAAATAGTAATTAAAATATATAAAAGTATAAAAATAATATAATAAAATAATCAAATAATCAAATAATTAAATAATCAAATAAATTAATAAAATAATAAAAAAAAATAATAAAAATATAATAAAATAATTAAAAATATATAAAAATAATAATAAAAATAATATATACCTTTTTTCACAAATAATAATAAATAAAAGATTGTACAATAAAATATCAGTACTATACTAAAATTTAGTGAAAAATAATAACTTCGGAATGTACCTTAAAAATAAATATATATATATATATATATATATATATATATGAGAAGGATAACTAAAAACTAAGAGAGAAATAAAATAAGAAAAACCACCCACACTTAAGGAACTCCAACCAAATCAGCAAATCCAACTGCTAAAAAAATCCCCTGCCAGTTATAATTAAAAAAAACATCCTACCCAACCCCCTATGTACCCGACATACTATCTTGCGCAAACCACCCCGCGAACAAAGACTCTAATATAAACTCACAACGGCTAACGCCGGACAGCACCACCCCGAGACGTCAAGAACGTGTCAGGACATAAGCACATACGACTCATTGACGAAACAACGCAACGAGTCTATGACAAAACAACGAAGTACAAAAGGACTAGCGCACCGCAAAAAGACTACCATAGCCGGTCCAAGACACAATACTAAAAACAAAACTGAGATCCACGATCTGCGGTGAAACGAACCGCATGATCTGAGACCCAACCTCGGCTATACACTCCATCTCCTCCTTCCCCTCAAAAAAACTATGCTGACCTATACTCCATGCCACGCACGAAAGACAATGAATTCCCTCAACATCCCCTACCCCTTTACGCCCAACCACCCCCCTGCCCATGAAGCAGCACAAGCAAAGATGTTGCCTAGCCACGAACACAACCCCCTATTCCAACGCCCACTGCAACCTATATTGGCCACTTCACATCATACATATAGACTACATCGCCCCCACTTTACCATCTCGCATTCACACTCCAGG